GAACTGTACCTCATCATAAAACAATGTTATCAACGACAACCCTACATAATTTTTTTTTCGGGCTGAGGATCAAACCAAGGGCCTTCAGACTCTCTACTTCTGAGTTACACCTCTCCCTCAAATCCTGCACAGTTAATAAGAGTAGTTATTTGCTTGTTACTATCGTCAAACAATCCACATGGAGGTGTGTCTGTCTGGGAGGACAGGTGTCTATCCCATGTCTGTGGGACTTCCATAAGTGACGATGACGATATTTATTATTGTGTTTCTGGTATTGTGAGTTTTTCTGGCACACAATAATTAATAATCAAATGCTAAGATAATTGAACCAGGACAAATAAATCTTTGTTTTAAAGTTTAAGACGTTAGAGGAATAATTCCAGCTCTCTGTGTGATTTTGGTCACTCGGGTGAGTGGGAAATGTCCTGTTTGACCTTTTTCACACTGATGGTTTGGGGGTCAAGCTGTCGGAGTGTGCAGAGTGACTGAAACTTGGGACAGTTCCCTCCGGTCTCATCTTGTCACACATACCATCCAAAACCCGGTCTTCTAGGGGCTGGGGATTTAGCTCAGCGGCACAGTGCCTGCCTGGCAAGTGCAAGGTCGTGAGTTCGGTTCCTGGTACCGGAAAAAAAAAAACCAAAAAAAACCCCAAAAAAAAAAACAAAACCCGGTCTTCAGCTTTGATTTTTAATTCAACTAAAATTTCTCCTCTTTTACTGCATTTATCTCATTGGTGCATTTTAGACATACCTAGTGATAACATGCATCATAGAGAATTTGTACCTGTACCTGATACATCTTGCTCCTTCTTATTTTCCCATTCCTCTCCCCTTCCTTCAACCTCTCTTCCCCTGCTTATTTACAAAAACTTAATTCAGCTGAAATTTCAAGCATGGGGAATTTATTAGATTCCTGGAGGCTGCCGCTTCTCTGCTCCCACTCACCACTGACCTATCCAGCATCCGGGTGCACAGCTGCTAGCTGTCACAGCATCCCCGCCCTGCAGGAGCAGTGGCAGATGTCCCCAGTCCCCACCTGGAACTCTGGCTCTCGGACAGCATTTCTTGGCAGTCCTGGGGCTCAGCTGTGGCCTGGACCTTCCCTGTCACCAGTCCAGCTCAGTGAGCAGTGTCCGCATGTCGGCTACTCAGACCTACCCTCGGTAGCTTCCTAGCATCCTCCGCGGCCCCCCTTGCAGGACGGTTTAAAACACTCATGGAGTTGGGATTTTGTTAACATCAGGGAAGAGCGATTGCAAGGCAACATCCATGTCATAAAACGTAGAAAATGTAATGGCCTAGCTATTCCTAACCCAGCTTTTGGAATTCACCTGTGGACCTCAAAGAAGTAGATGAGAAAGGTGGAAGGATGTGGTGGAGTTGAGGTGATCACAGCATGAAACTGTGGCATCAGGGGGCTGGGGATTTAGCTCAGTGGCACAGCACCTGCCTGGTAAGTGCAACTTCGTAAGTTCGATTCCTGGTACCAGAAAGAAACCAAAAAGGAAAAAAAAAAAGAAACTGTGGTATCCCTCGGTATCTGTAGGAGATTATTGGTTCTAGGACCCCCAAGGTTACCAAACACAATCCTCAAGTCCCTTCTGTAAATGATATAAAACTTGAATATACCCCACACCCATTCTTCCGCACACTTTAAGCCACCTCTAGATTACTTATAATACCCAACATTGTAAACACTGTGTAAATAGTATTGTTTAGGGAATAAGGATGAGAAAAACAGTCTGTACATGCTCAGTACAGATACGAGTTTTTAAAAAATATTTTCCATCTGCAGTTGGTTGACGGTACAGTGCAGATCCTCTGGATAAAGAGGGCTGCATGTACAGCCACTTTACCAGCCAGTCTTGCAAGGAGCCCCTTTACAGCCTTATGCCTTTGCTCCTCAGCATCCTTGTGAACGAGATAGGAGAGCTATCGTTAGCCCCATTTTACAGATGAGAAATGCAAACCAAAACCGATTAAGTTCCCAGCGTGGTGATGCAGGCCTGTAATCCCAGCACTTGGGAGGTTGATGCAGGAGGATCATTGCAAATTTGAGACCAGCCCGGGCTACAAAGTGAGATCAAGGCCAGCCTGATCAGCGCTGCTCCAAGTGTGGTCCACCAACGGGCAGCATCAGGGTCCCCTGGACACTTGTGAGAAGTGCAAGTACTCAGGGTTCATCCCAGATTTACTAGGGCAACATCTCCAGGTGGACGTGAACTTCTGTGACTTCATATGCTCTTCAGGTGCTTTTTCGCAGCTGGACAAGCATTGCCTTAGCATCTTTGCTGAAGAACTAAGTCCCGGCCTACTTTCAGGAACTGCAGCGGTAGGACTTCGCTGTGACTGCTGCCCAGGGGCATGGCGTGTCCTCAGCCTTTGCGGTGGCATGTGAACTGGCTGGCTCAGGACTTTCGGAAAGAAATTGTTTAGGTCCTCTACACAATTAAGTCCTGTTAATTAGAAAAAGTGCGAGCCTCAGAATGAGAAAAGAGTCCTGGCTAGGGCTCTTTCAGCTAAATTTTAGCCCCAGTTTTTATATCACTTTTGACTTCCAGTCTGATTCCCACCTCATCCTGCATTTGCAGTCCAAATGAGTGTGAGCTGGGGGGTGCAGCCATGCAATTGGGACCTGGGGGGACGGCCTGCAGCTGCATTCCTTTTTTATTTGAATTCAGCCAAGGCCCATAAAGGAAACGCAGAGAGCTCATTCTTTTAAATGGACTATTACGCAATGAAAATCCATCATTGGTGTTTGCTATTTTCCCCAAATTCAAGACACAGGAGTGCGTAAGGACTGCAGACATCGCAAGAGGAGAGAGGAGACCAGTGGTCACCTTCACCCCCACTTCCACAGTGGTCTGTGTCCAGGGTCCTTCCCCTGTATGATCAACCAACACAAATAAAAAATACAACACTCGTGAAGTGGACTTCTTTGAGCCACTGGGCGTATTCTTTTTCGGTCACTTCTCCACCGCCGAAACAATTCCTTTTCCAGCTTTCTCCCTGTGCTGAAAACTTGGAGGTGTTGGTCCGCTCACAGCCCTGTGGTGAATGACAACATCGCTTGGATCTGCTTCTCAGAATCTGTGACAGAGTCACCGTGTGGTCCAGATTCTCTTCATCCCGAGGCTGGATGGCTTCGGCAGCTTCTTGGCTGTACCCTGGATGGGCCAGCCGTGTGCCCGCCTCAGTCCATGAACTATACCTTCACTACGGTGCCTCTCGGTGGCTTGACTTCCGTTGCTCATGCCATCAGGAAAGAAAGCACCCTCCCTTCATTTGGTCTCTTTTATTACATCCAAATATCTCTGCCTAGTATCCATGCTATGTGCCTACTCTGCCTTCTATATCCTTCATCATCAAGAGAATTCTCTTTGTTTTCATGCCAGGAGACCAAGGTGCCATTTTCGTGGCTCTACTTGCTCTCTCCGACTTCCATATCATCCCTGCCATCCTCCCCGTGTCCCCAATGATACACTCCACCTGTCAGACATTTTCTTCCTTCTTTCCCACCATTTGTCCTCATTTCTCATTTCAGAACGCTAAGCATTCATGCGTCCCCTGTATCCTCACATGCACTGGCATTGCTGTGTGCACAGCTCTTACGGACGTGTTGCTTTGCAAATACTCCCAAGCAGTTTCTGTATGTAGGCTGTTATCTAGGGAGTGTACAACTAAAGACCAGAGGCTGAGAATTTTCCTTTTCTTTTGCTAATGCCACACACTGGGGATGAGCCCGGAGCACTGAGAGTGGAAGTATATGGTCAGTGTGAAGTGGGCGCTTACTACATGTTGTTCGCTGACCACAAACAGTTGCTTGATCCCCTGAAGACAACAGAAGGGAGAGGAGAGAAAGAGCGGCTAGGGGTACACCTTGAGAGCATATTTAGAGCGCTCCCGAGAGACCCGCTTAGAAACCTCCCTCCTGGCTTCATATGCATCATATGAATGGAAAAAGTTAATACGTGAAGAAGCTGGCTTGACCGCGGCTTTTTGGATTGTGGCTCGCTCCTCTTCTGCTCTGAATGTCGGCCTGGTTTGCATTACGATTTCCTTCCTTGCTGGAAAACATAGACTTTCCCCCTTTCTCTGGAAGGAGGGAGACCTGCTGGAAATCTGAGGCCCCGGGATTCAAATGCAGTGGGCTTGGCTGGGGCAAGCAGTGCATTTCTTGACAAGTCCTGAAAAGACTATTGAATTCTGGCCGGTGCTTTTCTGCAGGGTTTGGATGTGTTTCAGCTGCAGAGCTTGGCTAGCGAGCGTAATCGAAATAGACTTTTCCCCTTCCTTAGCAATCTTAGGCTCCCCTTTCATCCTTACAGTTAAAATGGAATATTTTACAACAGTGCAGATACTTTGAGTGCAATAGAATCATAAGTCACTCTCAAGCAAACCTCCTATCTTTCAAAATTACATGTAAATGGCTCAAAGTAGAACCCGGTGGTCCTGACCTGATAGAAAAATTGGCATACATTTGGTTTGCCTGCTAGAGGATCCTTTTTTTTTTTTTTAAATTAAATACAGGAGCTTTGGTAGAAGGCACTTTTATCTAATAGGGGTTTCCCCCCCCTCTTTCCTATGATTAATATATTTTATCTAATAATCTCTGCGGTGTCATTAGCATTCTCCCACGTGGTAGGCTGGGGCTTCTGATACCCTGCATAACAGGCTATTGTTCTGTGTAATCTTCAAAGGGCTCTTGGCCTTTGAATCTGCTCCATATCTAAAATTCTAGCTTTAATTGTCAGATTAGTCTGCTTCTTTTTTTTTTTTTCTTTGTGGTTAAGAATGGGAGAAGCTGAAATGTGTTCATTATTCCACAAAATACTTGAGACGGTAGGATCCCAAATGTTTCATTTTGTTCTGGAAATGAGAACTCATCAAACTGTACACTCCTTTAATAAGTCAGGCAAACAGACACTGGGTGACAGGATCTAAAAGGGGGTCCGGGTGGTGCACTTTGTGAAACAATGCTGGAATTGTGCCTTTCAGGGTCTCTGCAGGTCATGAACAAAACGAGGAAGATTATGGAACACGGAGGGGCCACCTTCACCAACGCCTTTGTGACCACACCCATGTGCTGCCCGTCCCGGTCATCCATGCTCACCGGAAAGTACGTGCACAACCACAACGTCTACACCAACAACGAGAACTGCTCTTCGCCCTCGTGGCAAGCAGTGCATGAACCTCGGACCTTTGCTGTGTATCTTAACAACACTGGCTACAGAACAGGTAACATGCAAAATCTCTAGCCTGTGAACCTCGGTATATGTCACAGGCAGAGGGAAATACATTGTGTAGTGTAATGCATGTGAAACTCCAGTAAGCCTCTAAACCAAAATGGTCCAGTTTCTCTGTCAGAACTCTCTCCATATTTCTGTATTTCTGATCTGTAATCTGTTACTGCAGTGGAATTCCTGAGACTAGCTAATTTATAAAGAAAAAAAAGTTTATTTAGCTCACAATTCTGGAAGCCCCATAGTATGGAGGTGGCTTTTCTTTTT